ATAAGCAGTTGATAGTCTGTTCCACAATCAGCTCCTGGCCTGGTTTTGGTTGAAGATATTGAGCTTTTCCACCGCCTCTTGCCACAGAGGTAGTCAATCCGATTCCTGTGTGTTCCATCTGGTGAAGTCCACGTGTAGAGCCACCGTTTGTGTTGTTGAGAAAAGGTGTTTGCAATGACCAAGTCGTTGGTCTTGCAAAATTCTACCACGTGAGTTCCAGCATTATTTCTGTCGCCAAGGCCATATTTTCCAACTACCAGTGATTCTTCTTTGTTTCCAACTTTTGCATTCCAGTCACCAGTGATAATTTACACATCCTGATTGCATGTTCGGTCAATTTCAGACTGCAGAAGTTGATAAAAATCTTCAATTTTCTCATCTTTGGCTTTGGTGGTTGGTGCATAAATTTGAATAATAGTCATATTAACGGGTCTTCCTTGTAGGCGTATGGATATTATCCTATCACTGACAGCACTGTACTTCAGGACAGGTCTTGAAACATCCTTTGTGATGATGAATGCCATGCCCTTCCTCTTCAAACTGTCATTCCTGGCATAGTAGATCCCATGGTTTTCTGATTCAAAATGGCCCAAACCAGTCCATTTCAGCTCACTAATGCCAAGGATATCAATCTTTATGTGTTCCATTTCATTTTTTACAACTTTCAATTTTCCTAGATTCATACTTTGTACATTCCATGTTCCAATGATTAATGAATTTCTGCAGCTGTTTCTCTTCAATTTGAGTGGTGCCACATCAGCAAATGGAGGTCTTGAAAGCTTTACCTTATCCATAGAACTAAGGCTGGGTTTACTCAGATGATGCAGCTCTTTCCCAGTCCTATTTTGAGAGCCTTCTAACCTAACCAGACTATTCATAAAGTTGTGCGGTAATGTATCAAACAGTGTTTCTTTGCTATTCACAAGGTTTTCCCTGGCCAATTCTTTGAGAAGTGGACGGCCTCTTCCTTCTTCCTAGTCTGTCTCACTTTGTAAGCTGGGTTGATATCTGTGCACCATGTGCATTCCGCTGGGTTTGAGACACCAGTGGCTCAGCCTCAAAACTCACATCAACACATCACCACGGTAGGACAAACCAACAGACAAGTTTGTCTCCCTGTTGGAAACCTCTCATACCACCCTTACCTGGGTCCCTGTGGCTGACTCCTCCTCTGTCCTGATTCCTGGGCATTTTAATCCTCTTTCTCCTGCTCTCCTGCCCTGATGCTTTGGGCGTGCCCAAGTTCCCTCTCCTCACCTGGATCCCTGCGGCTGACTGCTCCTCTGTCCAGGTTCCTGGCTTTTAATCCTCTTTCTCCCACTCTCCCACCCTGCTGCTTTGGGCATGCCTGACTTCCCTCTACTCAACTGGATCCCTGCGGCTGACTGCTCTTCTGTTCGGGTTCCTGGCTTTTTATCCCCTTTCTCCTGCTCTACTGCTTTGGGCGTGCCTGAGTTCCCTCTCCTTACCTGGATCCCTGTGGCTGACTGAAACCAAAAGAAGCAAAACCAGTGAGATACATACATATATGTTGGAGAGTGATATTTATTTAAAAGGAAGTAGGTCATGTGGTTGTGAGGCTGTCAAGTCCCAAACCCGTGGGTCAGGGATCAGGCTGGAGGCTTCTCCTAACTCACATAGTTGTAGGGGTTGATGAACCCACAATCAATCAGTAGGTCAGATGACAAGCTCTTGGCTCATAGGGTTGCAGAAGTTGAATACCAGAATCAGCAGATCAGATGACAGGCTGTTTGCTCAAGTCCTAAGAACTAGAGGTCAGATTATGATGCAAGCTAGATGCAGGATCCAGAGCAAAGGAGAACCTTGCCCGAGCATCCACATATATATTGGATGCAGATCACATCGCCAAAGAAACTCCCCTTACATCAGAGTAAGGGTGTGACTTGAGTCAGGCACTCTTGTAAGGGTGTGACTCAAGATACACCTCATACTAATCCTGCCTCATTAACATACAAAAACCAAATGCACTGCCATCAAGTTGATTGCAACCTACAGAAATCCCCAAAGGGTTTTCAAGGCTGTAATCTTTACAGAGGTAGATTGTTTCATATTCCTCCTGTAGAGCAGCTGGTGGGTTTGAACCATAGACATTTTGGTTAGCCTTACCCAATGCACCACCAGAGCCATTAATATATAGAGGCTAGGATTTACAACACATGAAAATGGAGGATAATTATATAGTATCAAAAAATGGAGGATAATGAAATCCTATCAGTAAATGGAATACAACCACGTAATAGTGGGGATCATGGCCTAGCCAAGTTGACACGTATCATTAACCATCACAAATACTCATCTAAAATTACTTTTTAATAATGCTCCATTGTATCCTCCTCTAAGTGTGAGACATTTAGGTTATTTACATTTTTATTATTATTAAAAATGTCTTTCATTTTTCTCTGGAAGTGCAATTTATGGGGACAAAATGGTGAACATTTTAAAGCTTCCTGAAAGCCTTTTCTAAATCTTGTCAGTCTTTATGTTGTTGTTGTTATGTGCCATCGAGTCGGCCCTGACTCATAGCAACCCCTCCTTGGGTTTCCGAGGCAGTATCACTACGGAAGTAGGATTGCCCAACCTTCCTTCCGAGGAGTGGCTGGTGGGTTTGAACCGCCAGCCGTCTGGTTAGCAGGCAAGTGACTTAGCCACTATGCTACCAGAGTCAGTCTTTATAGTTCTTTTAAATTGTTTAACCATTTCACCTGATATATTTACTTAGCTGATCCTCTGTGGTGGAACCATGCCAGTGGTCCTCAACAGCCACTATTTTTGCCCCCAAGGGGACATTTGGGAGTATCTGGAGAGAGTTTTAGTTGTTACAATTGGTGAGGAGTGCTATTGGCATCTAGCGGGTAGATGCCAGGGATGTTGCTAGCCATCCTACAATGAAGGAGGGATCAACAGCCAGAAAAAGACATTGTGTTTGGTATCAAAACCAAACCAAACTCACTGCCATCGAGTCAGATCTGACTCACAGCAACCCCTCTTTGGGTTTCTGAGGCAGTATCACTATGGAAGTAGGTTGCCCAACCTCCCTTCAGAGGAGTGACTGGTAGGTTTGAACCACCAGCCTTCTGTTTGGTACATGGTCAGCAAAAACTAGAGAAACCCTCAATGAGATGAATTGACACAATACTCAGAGCAATGGACATACACATACATCATGAAGATGGTGCAGGTCTGGGCAATGTTTCATTCCAAACACATAACATTGCTTGAGTTGGAGCTAACTCAACAGCAACTAACAAAACAACTGTTGGCTGTAGTCTTCTATTAATCAGTGTATTTGAATGGCTGTATAAAGTTGCTGGTATATAGCAGCATTTAGTCCAAAGAATATTTCCAACTTTTTCCGATATTATGTAGCTGTTGGTCAGACAATTTCAGCGTTTGTATTTAAACGTCTTTTTTAAAAATAACTTGTCTTACATAGTTAATGATTTCCCAATCTGTTTTTTCATTTCATTCACATCTTTTCCTGAGGTTGTCTTGAAAAGGGCGACTTTTCTCTTTGTCTTTCATTCTGCTATCTGTTCTTTTGCTTCCACTCTCATCTTTTCCAGAGACTTTTCTATGAGGGAAATTAGGCATGATGTCTAACTATCAATCTGATGCTTGATTTTAACTGCTGCTGCTCCAAGAAATGTTTCTATAGCCAAAGCAGATAAAATAATTAGTTCCCAAAACTTCATTTACCTGTTACTGAATGTTTATCTTACTTTTGCCTCTTTTTGCCATTTAGAAAATGGACATGACTTCATAATTTCTCATATTTAATAACACCAATGGCATCAGACTAGTGAAGCTGTGATACATCTGGAAAATGCAGCAAGACACAGATGGTAGAATTGTGGAGCTTTGTGCAAAAGTATGGTAAACTTCAACCTACAAAAATGGCTGACTTTCTGATAGGGATTCAGATGAAACTGTGATAGGCTTGGGGTAGAGCCAACCCTTTTCCTAACCATTCCAAGAATTTTCACAATTCAAATAGATGAATTGTTATTTCAGAGAAAGAAGCGGTTATGCCATTGATTAATTTGTCTTGTTTTCAGATCAGTTTCTTTCCTAAATAAAATAAGCTGTTACATTTTCAGGCACTTTCCTTTTTTTTTTTAATATATTTTTTTAAGGCTTACTTTTAAATTTCGAATTACCTTCAATTCCTTCAACAAGTTGCTTACATAGGAAATTTTGAGCCAGCAGTATTCTCTTACTTCTTACTTGATAAGCTATAGGGCTGTAAAACAATTTCACACCTTGAAATTATTTGAATACTTTTCAGTGTTCCATAGTAAGGCTATGGATTCCCTGATTTGAGTGTTTCCGATATACATTTGTTTTGCTGTGTTTTTCCTTGAAGAAATAACAAAAGCAGCATTTGTGTTTGTTTAAGCCAGCCCAGCTGTCTGAATTTCACAGTTGCTTCAGCTGCATCAGTTTGTCCGCGTGCCTCTAGTGTGTGCCGAAGTGGGAGTGGTGGCGTCTGCCTTCGCACAAAATCCTAGCGGGACTACAAGAGGCTCCCTTACTCTACACACCACCGGGAGAAGCGACGATGCCAATGTAGAGATCAAGTGAGGGCGAGGAAAACCAGAGTTGGGAGAGGTCCCGCGCTCAGCAATGGGGCGGAATTCCAGTCCTAGTTCTGCCGTCCCAATTCACGCACGCGCAACCTCTCCGCATGACTCCTCCGCGGCCCTCCGATAGCTCGCGCCGCCTCCGGGGGCCTTCTTTTCGTCCGGCGCGGGGCTGGCAGCGGCGGCGCCTGACCCAGCGGGAGCGTTATTGTGAGGATCGGCTGCACCTGTCGCTTTTTCCCTGAAGTGCTGTCGAAGTCAGGCAGGAGGGGATATGTGTAGAAGGCCGCAGGGGATGGTCAGGGCTGAAATGAGAGGCACCTGCAGCGATGGGGCGCTGAGCCTGACCGGCACTGCTGGAGGCGCTCAGGCGGGGTCTTCTCTCAGCCGGAATCTGAGCGGGAGGCCAGATCTGGGAGTATTAGCGACCCTTCCACTTCCAGGCGGCAGAGGCTCAGCGCAATGGAGGAGCTCGATGGGGAGCCGACAGTTACTGTAAGGGCGCCCCAAATAGGCTTGCTTGCCCTCACGATCCGAGGGCTGCGTCTGCTCCGTCGCTTCAGTCTTGTCCACCTCCTTACGGCTCGCGTGAGGCGTTTGTCCCCTATCTCTCGGCTCAGTTGCCACGGTCGCGATATCGCGACTTGCATTAGATGTCCAAGTTTGGGTCTCAGTGGTCGCTGGCTTTCTGCTCCTTTGTTCCCTCAAAAGCATGTGTACGAAGGCCTCATTCTATACTGCTTCCATCCTTCCGGTTTCGCTACGGTTTTGCTCTTGGGCATTGGACCAAGCAGGGGTGGGGCTTTTTTCTTCCAACCAAATTAAGATGCTCCAGGTCTCAACGCCCGCTGATTGGCATCTACTTAGTCGTGCATTGCAGACTCGAGGTTTAGTAAATGCATTTATTCTCTCAGGAGACTATTGTTCTTACTGCTCCATATCCATTCAATTCAGTCTGCACTCTCAGGAGGACGTGTTAAGTGTGAAAGATCTGTGATGTTTATAAAGAGATGCATGAGCTTCAGATACCAGATGACTGGTAGCTACTAGATTCTGCTGCGCCGAATGTCTTTTAATGCCCTCTTTGGTTTATCTCTTGCTCATTTTCCAAATGTAAGCTCCATCAGCCTCTGGGGAAATGATTTCTGAGGAGTTTTGTACCTCTTAGGGGTTCATAATCTAAAAAACCCAAACTCGATGTTGTGGTATGGATTCTCACTGATGACTACCCCATGTGTTTGTTAAACAGACTAGGATGGTGCTCTGCAGAGATTTTGACTGTACTCTTTATTATTATTTTGTGATTCGGTTGAAAATTTACAGAGCAAATTCACTTTCCATATAGCAGTTCACATATACTTTATCTCATGACATTGACTATAATTTCCCACAGTGCAGTAGCTCCCCTCCCACTTCCTCCCGATAGTTACCTCTTCCCTGTGTCCATCCCTCCATGCACTCCTGCCCCCTGAGCTGCCTCCCTGTGCATAAGCAGCCCTCTTTCTCCCATGATTCTTCTCTCTAAGGAGTATATTTACCTCAGATAAATGTTCAGCTCCTATGCCTGCCTTTTGCTTGGCTGGAAGCCACAGGTGTGGGTTCAATTCCAGACCTGAAGGGCAGCTAGGGGCCATAGTCTCAGTGGTTCCACCAGGCTCTATCAGACCAGCAAACCTGGTCCCCCCCTTTTTTTTTTCCCAAATGATTTTGAGTTTTGTTCCACATTGTTCTCCCTCTCTATCCAGGATCTCCTACATAGATCCCCCTCTGAGTGGTTTACATTGGTAGCTGGGCACCTCTAGTTCTGGTCTCATAGTTGTTTAGGCTGCGGATCACGTGGTGTACCAGTTGCTAGGACTAATTCTTTCCACGAATCTTTGTTTTTCTTCATTCTTCTTTGCTCTGGATGAGGAGAGACCCATCATTGCATCTAGATGGCTACTTGCAAGCTTTTAAGATCCTAGTGGCTACTTGCCAAAGTAGGAGGTGGAACAAAGTTTGTGTAGTATGTTATGCCAGTTGAACTTGATGTCCCCTGTGACTGTGGTCCCGAGCTCACAGGTTCAACTACTTGCTCCCTCTGGGTAGCTGGCTGTGACCAAGCAGTGACTACAACCTTGTCCCTTGTCAGCTCTACTATACCCCTGGGGATTCAGATCATATAAATACAGTTATAGGACCATTGTCTGCCAGCCCTATATGTGGTCTTGGGTACACTTCCCACTTCATAGACATACCTAATAGTTCAGCTTGTCTACCCATCTCTCCACTCATACACCCACGTTTGCCTTCACTGACAGTGCAGTACTACATGTGCAAAAGGGTTCATCTTTGTTGTCTGCACCTCCCATTTACATCTCTGTGTTGATTGTAATCTTTACCCAAGCAGATTGCCAGGCCTGTTTTCCACAGAGCAGCTAGGTAGATTTGAACTGCCAACCTTTAGGTTAGTAGTCAAGCACAAACTTTTTGTGCCACACAAGGACCTACCTTGGTAACCTCTAGGCCCCACTAAACTATACGTTATCTGATCAAGTGTTTTTGCTTTTTAGAAAGTTACAATGCCTGTAGTTTTCAGGTAAAATTACTGGATTACAAAGTAGTCTATGATAAAACCAAATATTGAAAACAGGGATCATTTCAAAGGTAACAACATAGAAATGGAACCTGAGATCTTAAATAGCAGCTAAAATGAGCTGATAATTTTATGCAGCCTGCTACTTTAGAGTGTTGATTCCATACTAAGGATGCATAAAGTACCATAAGTAGTAAATGTCTTTCACGTACTGAAATAAATAGCCACCAATGGTGTATGTAGGAAGAAGAATTAGAATGTCAGAATCCCTGGGACTTTTTCAAACTTCTTGTCATCTTGCCTTCCCCACCTCCAGTATTCTGATACTTAGCCATGTTTATACAAAGGGGCTGAAGATGCTGTAAAGCGAATGTCCCCTAGTGGTGATGGTCTCTGAGTGGTACAGTTAACACATTTGGCTGCTAACCGCAATGTTGGTGGTCCACCCAGGGAACCCTCAGAGGACAGGCCTGGCAATCTACTTCTGAAAAATCAGCCATTGAAAACTGAACAGAGCCCAGTGCTGCTCTGCCCAGCATGAATCAGAATTGACTTGGCAGCAGTTGGTTTTGTCTTGATGATGACTGATCTCTGATAATCTGGCTGTGCATCGATGAGACCAGGTAGGAAACTGGTTGCCTTGTGGGCAGAGCCTCACAGAGTGGCCCAGTCTTGGTAGAACTCCCTGATCCCGAGTCAGAGCCTGGACGCTATAAGTTCAGACTCACTCTTTTCTGTGTTTGAGAATTATTCTGCCCTTTGGGTTAACTCTTAACAGACTCTCAAGATGATGATGAATGTAATCTTGGCCGCCCTTTATGAATTCCCCATTTTAGCATTTGTGTCTGCTATTAAGGCAACTGCTTCCTCTTACCAGCCATGTAAGTAATCAGCTGATTCAAGGATGTGTATAAATTCAAAGTAGCAGAATAATCGTAATTCATCTAGACCAGTGGTCTTATCCTTTTTTTTTTAATCAAGGACCCTTAGGAAATATAAATTATAGCAATTTCCCCAGAAAAATGCCTGTATAGTTATACTTTCATGTGTTTTAAGGACCCATGGAAGCCCAGATACTTGGAAAATTCCTTCCTGCCCTTTGGCCAAGTCAGTTCCTACTCCAACTGCCTTCTGACTCCTGTCACCATAGATTAGCTTGCCTGTTTGTGAACTCCAGTACAGTTTGTCACCTTTTTATGTCTTCCAGCATCCTATGGCCTTTATGTGAGATGCCTCTCAGATAACCTGTAACAGTGTGGATTAGGAGTCAGAAGAGTGAAAGTGAGGCCACAGGGATTAGTCTGTGTCACAGAGAGGGAAATGTGAAGCCATCACTCAGTCATGGCGCAGAAGCCTGGGGATTGCATGCCTCTGTGTTTTTAGTGTGTAGCAAACAAGTGGGTCAGTTCTTTTTTTCTAATTTACCTTTCTCTGCACTGTAGATCACTGAATCTCAATATAATAATTGACTAGAGTGTACCTTGGTTTTTCATCAGCACTTGAGAGGTGGCAGGCTAGGTTGAGGAGCCCACCTGAGCTCACTTGTGTCATGTTGTTGTCAGGAATGACCAGGCCCTGGAGAAGGACATCATGCTTGGTAAGGTAAACGGTCAGCAAAAAAGGGGAAGGCCTTCCACGAGGTGGATTTACACAGTGGCTGCAGCAGTGGGCTCAGCCGAGGCAACGACTGAGAGGATGGCGCAGGACTGGCAGTTTTGTTCCTTGTCCATAGGGTTGTTACGCGTGACGGCTGACTCGACGCCTCCTAACAGTAATAATAGCAGCAGCAATGTGAGGCCCAGCAGACCTGGCTGATCGCAAAAACTCACAGCTACACACACAGTAGATCTTAATGGCTTTCATGACCACTGGGTTCTGAGATTATTTGCAAATCAGTTGAAAAGCAAAGCCTTCAGTAAGAATAGGAGCCTGGTGGTACAGTGGTTAAGTGCTTGGCTGCTCCATGGGAAAAAGCTATGGCAGACTGCTTCTGTAAAGATTACAGCCTTAAAAAGCCCGCGGGGCAGTTCTCTGTCCTCTAGAGTCACTGTGAGTTGGAATTGACTCGACAGCAATGGGGTTGGTCAGTAAGAATAACAGTGTCTGTGCCTTATTTCTTATTAGTTAATTCCAGGAGTGAATTCCAAGAAGAAGCAAATGTGTTTTGACTGGGGCCCAGGGGAGATGCTGGTCTGTGAAACCTTATTCAACAAAAAAGGTAGTTTTGTATTTTTTTTCCTTCCAGATTATCCATCTTGGCACATTTGGTTGTTTTTTTTCCTTTAATCTCTCAGGTTTGAGTCACTGAAACATGAAATATTTGAACTTACTGTGTACCATTTTCATTGTTTGAAGACTTCACTGTTTTACATTTTTGTTGATTACTGAGGCCTGGAGTAAGTTAAAGGGAAGGGAGGGAGAGTAATGATAGTCTTCCTGGTATTAAAAACAGGTTTTCTTTCTTCTTTTTTTTTGTTTTAATTGTGATTTGGGTGAAAATTTACAGAGCAAATTCTCTTTCCATACAGCAGTT